ACGGCGGTGCCAAAGCCAGTCGCTCGCGGAACCATTGCCGATAAATGTCATCGGTGATGATTGACACTGAAGAGCCTGTGTCTACCAGAAAGCGCAGACTCACTGTCTCTACTTCCAGATCGGCGTAGATGCCACGTTGTCCGCTGTCCGTTTTCACCTGAAGAAGCACGACGTCACAATTCGTAGTCTCGCTGATTTCTTTCACGTCCAGGTCCTGCGTCGTGGTGCTTTTACAAACCTTCTCGAAGTGCCCGGTCTTTTTGCATTTCCGGCACATAGCTCGTCGCGCTTTGCAGCTCACTGAACTTGTCACGTGACTTGCCGAGCCACAACGGTAACAACGACGCTCCGTCACCTCCTCTTCATATTTTTTATACTTGTCAGTAACGCGATGCGCCGCCCCCTCAGCTGCAAATTCTTTCAGGCTGCGCTGGGTGTCCTCGTAATGCGTTGCCATTGATACGGCCTTTTCTAGTGTCAGCGGTGCTCCTTCAAACAGCAGACGTTCCCGAAGTCTGCCAGATGAAATGCCTGATACGAGCTGGTCCCGAATCATCACGTCGGTGGTGCTATCGTACTCGCATTTGGCGGCTATCTCGCGCAAGCTCGTGATGTATCCTTCCATCGGCTCGCCTGGCTGCTGTAATCTCTGCTTGAATCGATGTCGCTCAACGAGTACGTTAGTTGTGGCTGCAAAAATTCTCCTTACGAGCTTCAGCGTAGTAGTGAACTCGTCCGAGGTATCCCCACTGGCAGGCTTGCTTTCTTCCGTCGCACCAGCAGTAGCATACTTGCCTTCCGCCTCTGTGGTCGGCTGCTGCTGAGGTGGTGTCGACGTGGCCACGACGTTGTACTGCCGTTGTCCCTCCACTCCTAGACAGTGGAGCAGGATGGCTGCACGCCGCGACGCCTTGAACTCGTCCGCGCCAGAAGCCTCAAGAAACCTAAGGAACGTTTGTTCCCATTGCGGCCATGGAACGGGAGGCTGGCCTGGCGTTTGCAGAAACGGCAGCGGCGGCGTGAGCCCGAAGTTCATGGTGGCTTTTTATGGTTTTCTCCTCGTCGCCAATATTATGTTGCAGCCCTGGTCGCCGGCATAGCGACCGCGAAAAAGAGATGCGTACGCCGCGAGCTTCAAACCCAAAATCTGATCTTTATCGCGATGTGGATGCTCTATATACAAAATGACAATGTTGCCGACACAACACATGTCCGTGTCATACTTTCGTCAACGTAGGTCCAGATAAGCTCCAATTTTTCTTCCAATATAGAAAAAATGTATACAAACAATGTATACAAAAAACCCTAAACCTGTGAGAAAACGTAAACCACGAAAAAGAAGACCCCATTTCAATGGAAAATTATCCCCGAGACCATCTTACTCTACTTATCAGTGCTGATAAATTATTACAAATGTATAGCAACCTCACTTGCCCACGCCAGCGTCCACCGGGGCGCCGAGGTGCAACCCGGCATCTTCAATAAAATGCGCCGGTGCGCACAGGACGTGTTCGACAAACAAGGCGCGTACTCCCGGTGCGGTTTCTTGCTGCCTCAACGCGCACCGCAAGACCAGACGGAGCACTGAGCTGCAACCCAGTAAGCACTGCGGCCAGGAGTTCAAACAGCAGACATGACTAGACCGGGCCGACCGGCCGACCATGTAGACTACTGAAGCGGGTTGCGAATGCGTACTCGCAGCAGCAGCACCGCGGCACGAGGTGCATTTCAGGCCTGCTCTTCTGAGAACGAGGAATCTGTGCTCAAAGTGATTCCACGAAATACCGCCAGCCTGCAATGAAAAGTTCCCATTACTGCGATGACAAGGAGCGCCCGAAATGAGCTTTCCGTACGCTGTTGTAAGTCGATGCGATAGGTACGGAGGCACGAGGAACGGCCGAGTAGTGTTATTTTAATTCATAAAGAGCGATTCATTGACCATGAGCGAAGTGGTAGGCCTGAGAAATCGTATCGCCATTATTTCTTTGTATTTGCGTTTTTTTCTTTATTTACAATGGCTTTTAGGGTTACATTGTTAGGCCGGAAGGAGGTGCGAGGACCCGTCAGACGTGCAATGAATAGTTCATATGAAGTGTTCAGAGTACAAAGCGTGTAAAACTTGCAGGAAGAAACGCCAGGTGACGCATAGCGCTTTCAGTCCAACATTGTTCCTACCGGCTTCGATGAGAAAGGTGAAGAATAAAAATCAAGATGACTTAAATCATAATTTATGTGGTGATTGAAATCGGCCTAGTTTTAATAAGGTGTTTTAAGGCAACGCTTTTGCATTTTTCTAAAAAATAATTGAAAATAATTTTTTTTTTACCGCGTGTGTGTCATGTGATGCTTTAAGATCAAAGAACTATCAATCAAGAAAGTTTCATGTCACGCCCAACACGAGCAAAAAGTAGAGCTCGCTAGAGCAAATTAAAGCGCTCAGCTTAATTTCTTCAGTATGCTTCGTTCTTCAATTACGTAACATCGTACTGCAACACAATCAAAGCGCAAAATAAAGAAATGAATGCTAGAAAGGGAATGTCCAATTGCAGCGAAGTCACAAGTGGAAATAAAAAATATAATAATAAGGTTTTAACCAACTAAAACACTCAAGATCTTTTTCTTCTAGTTTGGCGGGGATTACAGCAATAAAAAAGTTGTTAATTAAACTTAACTTGACATTTAAAATGATTATGTCTTAAGTATAATTATAAAGTGATCGGACAGATTGATCAACTTGAGACGTTACCAATTCTATTTCTGCCTTCCTTCGCGTTTTCCTTTCCGTATCCCAGTCTCAGGTTGACCATCATGTTCAAAAAATATTCCGTGTTTAATAAACATAGTGATGCAAATGCACTAAATATAGCTGCAGTGATTAAATCAATGTAATACGATTTAAATCGAAGAAATTCGATCTATATTACTTTTTTTGCTTTAAATCGTTATTTTTTCCAATGAGGTAGAGGGCCCTAGAGCGATAAACTATTAGCTGAGAGTGACCCCAATTGGCCGGCGCCATGTCGCACATTTTTGACCACTACACACGTGACCTTATAATTTTAGGTCTAGCTTTTAACGAAGTATTGCGCACAAATAATTACTTCTTGATCTTTTGTAACAGTACCGACGAGATAAGTTATGTTTCGTGTATTTCGAGTCCAAAATGTGCTTTTAAGACAAAAACTCGTGCAACTTCGCAATGCCTCCACTAGATGGCGTCAGCCGCGGTGCCGTATTTTGGGTTTTTATCGAAGCTAGACACTGATCTCTGGGGCTAACAGTATAGAAAAGTAGTTTATCATGTTTTTTTACAGCAATCGCAATACAAATATGGGCAGAGTTTTGCGTAGAAGCCTCAGGATTTCGTATGGTCACCTGTCTAGTGGACAACGTTGTACAACATGGCGGCAGCCAAGTTGGGGTAACTCTTTCCTGGTGAACGGGATACCCGTATATCGCTCTAAGCCCCTCTACCGCGTTGATTTTCTCCCGCCCTGCCAAAGATGCTCGGTGGCGCGAGCCACCGCTCGATCGAAAGGCGTCAGCGGTAGGCATTTATCAGGCATCTAGTCGGCTCAACTTCCGCAGAGCATATTGTAATATAATAATATTGGTAATATTTATTTTTCCATCAAACAAATGATCGAGGGAGACCGAGAAAAAAAGCTGCATCATGCAGCTTGACGAGTCCCCGGCCCCCCTCTCACACAAACAGCAGTGGCGCAAGAAAAAATAAAGAAGACACAATAACATTTAAAAAGCAATCGGGCGGCAATATTAATCTTTTTCGTAGTAACATGATGCATTGAGAGTTCTATGGAACTATGTATATATGTAATACATGAATACAGAATACATACCATAGATACATTGAGAGAATACATACACAGAAAATGGCATACATGTATACATTTAGGTATATGCACAGAAAACACAAAGCATTATACATCTCAAAGCTCTGAAAAGGGCTACTAAAAAACCGCACTAGAAAAAAAATTCTCGAATATTTCCTCTCTGTGACTTAATGGGATCAATATGTTCGGAGCTAAGAAAATTAAGTAGGTTTGGAAGCGTATAAGATAACATTTGCTCAGCATAGGTCGTTCTAATAATGGGTAACTTCCAATTTTGCGAACTTCGAGTGTGATAAGTTGGTACTTTTGGAGCAAGAAAAGCCAGGTCACTCAGATTAAGATTATTTTTTGTACTTCAGATTTATAACTCACACACAAACGATATTTCTATATACTATTAACATTCATCAATTTTAAACGTTTATATAAGGGTTCACTAGGGTGGTCGTATGGGACATTGGAAATGTTTCTTAGCATATTGTTTTCGCAACAGAAGTAGTTTATTTAAGTTTGCACTCGCACTATTACCCCAAACTAGGAGGCAGTAGTTTATGAGAGAAAAATAAAGAGTTATAAATTAAAAGTCTGACACTTCTTGACAAAAGATGGCGGTGTCGATACATCAAGCCAACAACACGCGATAGTTTAAGCGAAATATAATTAATATGATCGTCCAATCGCTTTTGATCCGTGAATACAACACCAGGAGGATTAAAGCTAGTGAGGACCTCAATTTTAGTCAAATTTAAAACGATATCACAAGTAAAAGCAACATTCTTGTTTTTTGGGTGAAATAAAACCACTTTTGTTTTATTTTTATTGTTTTTTAGAATATTACAGCTACACCATTTAACCAGGTATTTAAGAGTTTTATTTGCGCTATTTATTAGTTCATTACAGTTATTACCCTCAAATAGCAAACTTGTCTGGTACTGAGCCACCAGGGAGGAGCACCGCGACATGTTCTGGTTTCGGAGAAATTCCGGTGCCAGTAAAGATGCTATAAATCACCATGTCTCTATATAGGTTTCATGACTTCCCGAATACAAGTTTAATATGAGAAAGTCAGAAAAGACTGATAATCGTCGTACGAATGCCACGAGTGTCGCAGCGCATACAATGTTTTCTGTTGCATTTCCCACGCAGCGAGGTACTTCCGGGAGCCACCAGCGCCCTCGGGGAAGACCTCTTCTTGCACTCCTTCACCCTCATGTTCAAGGTAACGCTCTCCGACGGCCATTTGCCACATCGACCACGCCCGTGATAGCCTTCCTCCCGTGATTTGCGTATAAACTTTACGCACGGGCACTTCCCCTTTTCCCGTCTAGTCATTACAATAACAGTCTCTTCGACCAGTAAATAGAAATGCCTCATTTTGTCTCAAATGCTCACCCGAATTGCAACGAGTGTTCGGTCGAATAAAAAGATCAGTGGAGCAGTAATCAAAGGGCCTGGGACAAACAAGGCGCTCCTCGCTTTTTCTTCGAGCCCAACGCGACGAGCCCACGGAGCCTTTCAAGCAGCACAAAACTCTCTTTGGTCATTTGGAAATGAGAGCAATTTCTTCTTCTGCCTGACTGGTTCAGCCGGTACAAAACCACGATCACTATGAGCACTGCTTGATTGGCTCTATTCGGCTTCGGTTGCGGTAGGGCGAAAAGTAAAAATAAGTATAGCTACGCTTTCCAGCTCGATAATTTATATTTGCCCGCAGCTCTCAAGTTTCTTCAACTGCTGTGGCCAGCAAAATACAATATGTTTTGGTCGGATTTCGGTTCTGTGTCATTGCGCTTTCCCCCATTGCTCGCCGCCGCCAACCTGGCACAATGTCATTGGTTGTTATAAATTTTTGGAAAGTAACGAGAACAGAATAACAGCGAAAAAGTTTCATCGTTTTGATAAGACACTGACAACGCGAACTTCCCTTTTCTGTCATCTATTCGAATATTTTCCTTTGTCCTTCTATACGTTCTTCTATACGCTTCAAGAAAACCACAAGGACGAAAACAGTCATTATTGTTATTGTCAAAGTGCCAGCTGAACGTTTTACGGACACACACGCAGAGAAGAACAAAAAAGGCAGACACACCGCTGGACTAGAAACTATTTTAATGAAATCTTCTTTTTCTATAGTGTACAGCTAATCGGATTCTTCCTCTTCTTTTATATCTGAACCTTCGTCTCTCACTCTTCCTCTTCTTTCATGTGCCTGTCAAGTGTGCGGCTCTTCGCAGGTATACCAATTCCTTCTGGTGCAGCGGGATTGACGATGCACTCACGCAATGATCCCCCTTCGCGTCAATAGCAAGGGCCTCAAGAATTTCTCGAACAACACTTGTGCAATTGTTTTCCAGGATTTCAATGTTGGCAAAGTTTGGCGCACATGTGCACACCCGACAATGGGCCGCGAGGTGCCCTGCTGCTGTGGTGGCCTTCACTGAAGCTGCGTGCTCTCTTGTTCTGTCGTTAATACACCCTCCCGTTTGACCAATGTAGCATTTGCCACATGACAAAGGCATGTGGTACACGACTTCTTTTGTGCATTCGGTGTATCTGGTCTTGTGAGATGTGCTGCAACCTGTCTCTTCGTTGTTGTCCTCCCTGTTCACCTTCCGGCACGTGGAGTATGCCTCATTTGGCGCAGAGCATATGACCTGTACGCCCTGTCGGCCAGCATCAACTTGGATAGTTTCTTGGAGCTTCTAACCATCTACCTAAACGCGACGGCACTAGTACATCAAAACAAGCAGTACGTACAACGAAGCGGTATCTGCATAGGATCCCGGGTAGCTCCCTACCTCTGTGACATCTACCTCGCCGCATGCGGCTCTGCTATCCAAGACAACTTAAAAGATCCCCGAGTAGAGGCCATTTTTAGGTATGTGGATGATTTTTTAATCTTGTGCAACACTCAGGTCCATGAAACAACCAACGGGTGTCAGGAAGCAGTCATGACGTGTTTCGATCAGAGCTGCTCCGATCTTACCATCACCCACGAGCTCTCTGTTAACAACTGCATAAAATTCCTAGATCTCTCCTCAGCGTTTAGGAATAGACATGTATGCTGGAGCAAGCCATGGAGAAGAATTTCATTCCAGTTAAAGAACAAAGATCAAAATCCACCAAAAAGGCCATCTTAACAATGCTGGACACAAACCATGTTACCACTCTCGCCACAAAGATAAAAGGAACAAAAGGAAGCCATTTATCTGTGTTCTTTTCAGTTAAAACGCACAAGGAAGGTGTACCGTTTCGCGCCATCGTATCAGAAAGGAACACCTGGCAAGTCCATGTGTCGTCTTTCTTGGCAAAACATCTGTCCAACGTTCATAAAATTCATAAGTCCATAAGAAACTTGGATAGACCACAGCGCTCAATTCCACCCTTAAGAGGTCATGTGAGCATCAGGTGCGGAGGAGTTTTGCGACACAAATCTCTAGGCTACAAGATGCAGGCTACCCTAGGACACTTCTTGTTTCGATTTGTGAAAACATATGTGCAAAGATCAAGCGCCAACCTGAAGGAGATGGAACAACAACAACAAAGAAGCCTCCGGCACCCTATGTGGTCGCCCCTTATATCCATGGGCTCACACATCGACTAAAAAAGATTGCTGGCCGACAGGGCGTACAGGTCATATGCTCTGCACCTAATAAGGCATACTCCATGTGCCGGAAGGTGAACAGGGAGGACAACAACGAAGAGACAGGTTGCAGCACATCTCACAAGACCAGATACACCGAATGCACAAAAGAAGTCGTGTACCACATCCCTTTGTCATGTGGCAAATGCTACATTGGTCAAACGGGAAGGTGTATTAACGACAGAACAAGAGAGCACGCAGCGTCAGTGAAGGCTACCACAACAGCAGGGTACCTCGCGGCCCATTGTCGGGTGTGCACATGTGCGCCAAAGCTTGCCAACATTGACATCCTAAAAAACAATTGCACAAGGATTGCTCGAGAAATTCTTGAGGCCCTTGCTATTGACGTGAAGGGGGACCATTGCGTGAGTGCACCGTCAATCACGCTGCACCAGAAGGAATTCGTATACCTGCGAAGAGCCGCACAATTGACAGGCACATGAAAGAAGAGGAAGAGCAAGAGACGAAGGTTCAGATATAGAAGAAGAGGAAGAATCGGTTTAGCTGTACACTATAGAAAAAGAAGATTTCATTAAAATAGTTGCTAGTCCAGCGGTGTGTCTGCCTTTTTTGTTCGTGTCTGCGTGTGTGTCCGTAAAACGTTCAGCTGGCACTTTAACAACCATGAACCAACTAGCTCAGCTTCAAGCCGTCACACGAAAACAGTCACCCGTGAACAAGGTGCCGAACTGGCCCTGAAACGTTGGGCTCCGTATCATTTTTTTTTTGGTTAGGGCTTTTCTTTTACATTAATTATTCTCCCAATTGAGTAAAGAAAACTATGGTTCGCGGAAATAGTCCATGAAGCCCAGTCCGCTGCATCTTTCATATTTTTCATTCCGTGTAGTGAACTAAATAAAACTGACCGAATACAAGGATATTTCATTTTCAAGGTTAGGGATCTAGCTGCTCCTACAAACCATAAATAATAACGAGAAATTAGAATATTTCCTGTATCCCGGTTCACCACAAAGAAAGAATAGCGCTCACGTTTATTGACTATTGCCACAATAGTCGCGTCTCCGACCTGAATAAAACTGAACCTTGATTATTTATTTGCTTTACCTTCATTCAATGAAAATAAAATACTTGGCAATTGTTTCCAAGCTACACTAATTCACAACTTCATGCTTATATATGATTGCGAGAAGAGCGTTGTTTCAGCATTGATATTTTTTACCATTGTTTTAGCGAGGTTTTTCATGTTGTTTTGTCAAAAAGACACTTCCGAACACCAGGATTTCGTTAAAGAAACAACGTTTGCATTGTTAAAGTCCTTAGAACTTGTCGAGGAAACCTACGAGTGGTTGTCAAATAAATCTACGAGTGCTTTTTGAGTAAATCTACGAGTATTTCCCGGCGCCAGATGGCACGACCCGACATCTGCTTCCGCCGTGACCAGCCTTACTAGATCCAATTAGACTGTCTGAAGAAATTGAAACTCTAATCAAGTTTGAACGAAAACAAAATACCCTACGTTTCGGGACCATCTCGGTCTCATGGTAACGGGTTACTAACGTGTTGGGTGAATCTTCTTCGTCTTCATCTATATCATCTTAATTATCTTGAACTCCATGTTTATAATTTTGTTTTATGTAAACTTGGTTAGAGTTTTAATTCTTTAAGTCAGTCTATTCATTTCCTAACCTGACAGATCTCTGTCAAATATGTTTATATTCAGATCCAATTAGTTACGGAACTGCGCAGAGACGCTGCTTCCACGAACAGTAACGCCTCCCCAAATGTCCGCCTCACGTAGGCGACCGTTGTAAATAGAATGTACGCAGGATTTTAAACACGTCGTCTAAAGGTCGCTTCCCCACAGCCTTTCCAAAGAATGCCGTTTCGACGCACGGTTTCTTTGAAATTTGAAATACGTGTAGGCGAATTTTAGATTAGATATAAGCTATCTTCTAATGACGTTTTAAACACCAAAAGCATCGCTTCTTTCTCGGACGACCAAATTTTGACCATAGTATTCTCTCGAGAAGAGGAATAATGGGGACAAAGGACAAATACAGATCTCTAAACACAGCTAGCTGAGTGGTGCGCGACCAAAAAAATGGAGAGTTCTTTGGTTCGGTATCAGAACTATAGAATTTTTTTTTCGTTCGCGCACCTGTCATCTATATGTGTTTGGAAATTTGTGATTGTCCTTTGTCCTCCTTATTCCCTTTCTCCAGGAAATATTAGTGGCACTCTAGTCCAGATCCCTGGCACCTTTGCAATAATTGCTTTACCACCATAAACAAATCTTGTAAGAAATAATTGGCGCGGGGTATGAACAATGCCCACAAATGCATTTTCCTGGAGATGCAAACGAGTATACAGGGTGCGGCCGTGAAAACTTTCACATTTGGCACGCCTAGCAAAAAACGAATTTCAAACGTACATACCTGAAATTGGGCACACGAACGTCGTTTATTCCAAAGTTTTTCGCCTATTTTTTTCAAGCGTCAACTCTGGAGTAGCGAATTATTAGAAAGATAACAAAAATGGCAGGCGTGCATTTCCTATGGCCTATACCCGCCCGTTCGCCGTCTGCTATCTAATTCGCGACGCCGCTCCCAGATGGC